CTGCTGACTTGGCGAGCCTCGAGGAAAAAAGTCCCTGGGTCCAGACACAGATGTTACTTCTTCTCCTGAATGTACCTTTCTTGACTGTTATTACGGCTGTGCTGAAGATACGTTGCTGTGGGGGAGGATCCGCTTTGTGCTTGGCGCTATATAGACATGGCAGAGAGATGGGCCTTGCCCCAAAGGCATCGGGGTCTTTTCCGGTAGCTTTGTAGTGGGACGTTTCCCGAGTTAAAAACGTTCAGAAGAGTTGTAGCTCTCGTGAGACGACAAAATAGTCAGGGATTTTTGGAACGCAGCTATTACGTTTTAGGACTGGCTTTCCAGGGAAGGAATCCGTAAGTAGAAATGCTGGACTTTCCTCTTCCTCCTCCACTGCTCCTGCTGGTGTGTCCTACACCCAGAGCAGGGCAGCCCTAGCCGCTTCCAGGGAGGGGGCCCTGCAATTCCTGCGGCAGGCAGCTCTCTTCCACTGGGAAGAAAGAAGCCGGGCCTTCACCTCGATGAAGCAGTGTTTGCAGCCGCCTTTAGCATGGCTAGCAGGTGTGCGGGAGGGCTGAGGTGAGAAAGAACCTCTCTTCTGAGCAGCCAGCCAAATGTCTTGGAAATGGCACGTGGACTTCCCTATAGACCTCCCCTTATTAAAGGGGGATCCCAGGGCTACACTGCTCTCATAGGGAAGGACTTTTTCTCATTTCCAAGTGTAACTTCCCTTGTTGCAATTTGTTTCCTTTGCCTCCTGCCCTTTCACTGTGCATCCCTGACGTAGCCCCTTTACACAGCTGAAGACAGCAATAAGACTTCTCTTTGAGAGACAAAAGAAACTGAGGTCCCTTAACCTCTCCTCATGCCCCATGTGCTCCAGCCCTTGGACCATATGAGTTGTCCTTTGCTGGACTCATTCCAGTTTGTTAATAACTTGTCCTGGAGAACCCCAGACTGGGCTCGATACTCCAGACGCAGCCTCCCTAAGTGTCAAATACAGGGGACTGATCAGTTTGCTTGACCTTGCGTTGAATTCGGCCCCATAAGCACTTGTACTTTATCATCACAAAGACCCACTGCTGGCTCGTACTGTTGCCTGGGGTTATTCCACCTCTGGTGCAGGGCTTTGCATCAGCAAAGCTAATACAGGTTATGATGTTAAGCGCAGGCTCCCGCCTCCTCAGCCTAATAGCAGCGTAATCTCAGCATCTCTCTTGCATGCATTGCATTCATGAAACTCCACCAACCAAACCTTGTGTGAGAGAGCAGTGAAACGGGGAGGGCTTGCGGGGACTCCTGCTTTGCCTGGAGATGCTTATTGTCAGCTTTTCTAGCCAGAGAGCAGACAGGCAGTCTGACGTGGCAAACTTCAAGTTTTCTAATGCAAAGCGTTGTGTTCTCGTCCACAGTGATAACGCTTTGCAGAGAGAAGAAGCGTGTCTGCCGGGAACACCCAGCCAGGGCTGCTAATTAGCACCTCACAGATCTGTGAGGAAGATCATTTTTCTTTCATGAAGAAACTGGCTTAATGTGCTCTCGTACTAGCAAAAAGGGAGCATTAAATAACTGACAGGAGAAACGGCTGCAAGGTGGGCAGGTCCAATGTGGACAGAGCGGACCAGTGTGGGAGCCATGCGGGGCGAGCCTCCGCAAGGGCTCTGAAATGCAGAAGGGAAGGGGGAGAGCACGGGCAGCTCTGGTTTCCCTCCACCCTGAAGAAGTTATTGCTTCAGATAGTACCATGGCCTAAATGAAAGGGATGACTCACCCCTCTTAACGGTTTTAAAGCATCATTGGGGGATTTTTATTTTATTTTATCTTTTTAGAAACCACGTTATCAGCTGGGTGTAGTAGGGAGCTGGGTGAGCTGTAAGACGAATGTTGCTAAGAAATTCATGCCCAAGGTGGAACGAACTCACTGCAGAGAGAAGAAATAAGATAGCCAGCCACGCATCCTGCACCGCAAACGGCACCCCCTGCTTCCAGACACGCTCACGCCTTCCGTGGCTGCAGTTGGTGAAGCTCAGTCAGATGGAAAGAAGTTAATGTTTTGTGTTCTCCTCCCCGAGTAGCAGTGAATTAGCACTCCCAGGGGCAGCAGGGGAAAACCTTAACTCATTTTCTGCCTTTGCTTTTGAAATCACCTGTGGGGGGGTGGAAACTGCAGTTTCTACCAGCACGTAGGGAGCCTGATCTCACCATTCACCCTGGGAGGATTCACCTGCCAAAAGGAGCTAAGCCTAATGTCCTAGCCTTCACCCGTGACCACATGGCCATGAGGTAAAGCAGAGAAGTAGGAAGCCTCTAAGGGGGGGGGGAGACTGAGATTGCTGTTCACCAAGATTAATTGTAATGCCGCTACACAACGGTCTGGGAGGCATGAGAAGGCTGCGGCACTGAGCTGTTTCGACAACAGTGCTTACCTAAAGCAACACCATGTAATCGCTCAACCAAGACACAGCAGCAGGTTGTTGTACAAGGAGGTGCCTTTATCAAGCAATTGCTTCCATTAGCAGCAGTTTCTGCTCCACCAAAAGATCACCTCTGTTAAACAGCTAATTTCCGTCGGTCCCCTTTGTCAAGTCAGGATGAATTTTGCTGCTCTCCTGTCAGGATGAATTTTGCTGCTCTCCACGTGAGCCCTTTGAGGAGCTAAGGGATCTTTGCAGCTGGAATGGTTTGTGCCTTATCTTTGTGCCTGCTTGAGAAGGGCTTTTTCTCTTGCCCAGATTTGCTTTGAAGCTAAACTTTTGAAGCCATAATCATAAAAGACATGCAGAGGTTTGGTGGGAGTCAGAAAAAGCTGGCAAAAAATACTTCTGTCAAGCCTTTCTCACCAAAGGTTTCTCAATGTTACATCAGTTTTCCATTTTGGGGGTGGGGTTCAGTTAGAGAGGGGGAAAAAAAAAAAGATTTCCAAAATATGGATCAAAAAATCAAACAAGAGAACGCTGTTCTGAAATTGTTTTTAAGAATAAACAATTTCTTACTGGAGCAGGGAAAACTGCAGGAATTTCAGGAGCAGATGAAAGCAGACGCCAATTGGTACAACAGGGGAGGAGCAATCCTAAATTCATGTCTAAACTACTAGGCTGTGAGCTGGCTGTCAGCACTCAGGAGGGAGAGCCCTGGGGGGCATACAGAAACAAGGTATGAAAAGTATCTGCTCCACGCACAGTAGTCAGAAAAGCAAATCAAGAGCTGGGAATTGTAAGGAAAGGAATAGAGACGAAATAGAGGCTATCACAGCGCTTCTGCAACTCACCCGTGGCTTGCCATCTGGCTGCAGACATGTCTGGGGTCAGGTACCTCGTCCTCTTCTTCTTTTGAAAGAGCCGAGAAAGTTTGGTGATGCACACGGACAACGCAGCTGTCTGGTAGCGGCACTGCTGTGAGGTTTTATTGCAGTAACATCCAAAGGTCACAGTCCCTCTGAATCAAAAAAACCACATGGCAAGTAAGAAGAAAATTGATGATGCGTCTCACTGCATTGTTATTGCTAAATAATGTCCACCAAAATAAGACAGAGGTAAAGCAGGAAAGAAAAATCACCACTTCTTACATATATATATATGCACATATCCCAGCGACCAGAGAGGGGAAGCAGCTACCCTGAGAGCAAAGTAATGCTTGCTGCTGAACTGGATGATCTGAGCGTGGAGGTTGTGGTCAGGCTGGATGTTAGAGGGTGCTGGTGCCGCTGGAGCAGGGGACCCCACGTCTGCCTAGCACAGCCCCCTCGCGCATGCCGGCTCTCTCGGGAGCCCTTTCTCCCCAGAAAATGAGACTGCACCCTCGTGCTTGTGCTGGGTATTGCACCCGAGAGCGGGTAGGAGCCAGCCCTCCTTGCAGACGTCCTGGGCTCCTCTGCCCGCAGCAACAGGGCAGTGTCCCTTTGGGGACCTGCGGCCCTTGCCATGGGCTCCCACATGCATTGCTACTGCTGCAAAAATCCCGTGGCTGTTTGGTGGGGGTTTTGCTCTGGCAGTAAAATACTCCAGCCAGTGCCTCTGCTGGTTTTGCACGGGGACTGAGGGACCAGTGGGCTGTGCAGAATGGGTTTTTTTCTTGTGATTATTGTTGTTATTGTGGTGCCCAGAGCTGGGCCAATGAGGCAGAAAAGCTCCCGAGTTATGTGAGGGAACCTGTTGAACCAACGCTTCTCTTTCTGGGCATGAGGGCAGCGTGGCAGCGCGTTTGAAGCAGGACTAGGAGCGCTCCTAGTTGTTCCCGGTGCGGGGACCGCCCTGAGCTCCGCTGCTCGGGAAGAGGTGGCCGGCCCTTGGCTCGCCGCTTGGCGCC